ATAGGAAAGAGTAGGTTTTGAGGCGTCGAGTCATCCACTACATTAAGGTTCAAAGGAGCAATCACTCAGAAAGAGAAGCTACTTGGGAACTTGAAAATGAAATGAGACAAAAGTATCCACAACTTTTTGAGACTCTAGGTATGTCAAATTTCGAGGATGAAATTTCTTTTAAAAGGGGAAAAATGTAAAACCCAAGTTATGTGTAAAACTTTGTACTTCTTAAACTCATGGGATTGCTTTTGACACTTTTATTATTGTATTTGGAGCGTCTTTGGTTCATTTTGGAATATTGATTGAAGTGGTATCATGATGGTAAAGTAAGATTGGATCAAAAACATTGATTTGGATAATTGTCCCATGAGTAGTCTTCACTTTTTTACCCTTTTTTCTTTTCACACTTCGAATTTGGATGTGAGGCTAGAACCATTGGAAAGCTTGTTTCCGGGGCTTCGATTTGGACACAATAAGGACGAGAGAGTTATGTCCATTGAAATTTGAGTATCTGTGCTGGAAATAAGTTGCGCTCGAGCGCAAGAAGTTGCGCTCAGAGATTCTGGGAGGTTCTTTTCTACGCTCGAGCCAAGTTTTGTTCGCTCGAGCGGTTAGGTCGATATCAGGCACTATAAAGTGGGTTTTTGGCCCAAATTCTTCATTCTTTCTTCTTTTCTTCTCCCCCTCTCTTTCATATCCGAAACCCTAGCCCTCAAAACCTTGATTTCATCCATTTTTCACCAACAATCCACTATGGATCTTGCAATAAAGATGAAGAACAAGTGAAGATCAATATTTTTAACCGATTGGATTTTGGATTTTCAAAGGCATCCTCTTGAGTTAGCTTCTCTACTCTCATTTTGGAGATATGATTACTTTTAGCTTTGTATCTCTTTACTTTGAGGATGTTTGTTGGTATTATTGTCATATCGGTTCTATGATTGATGTTTACTTTGAGGATGTTTATTGGTATTATTGAGTTTACAAAGAAATGGGTTTTGATTTCAAAAATGAAATTTCTCATATATTTTCTAAAAATTTATATTAATGTTTATGGATTATGAAAACTTCAGTTGAAAAATAGCATTTTATATCATGGAATGGCAAAAGCCCCAAATGTGATAAAAACCCTAGTTTGTGAAATTGAACAACGATATGCTCAAATGGAATTAACCTTCAATTCATTAAATTTATGATTGAAATATGAGAATGAGATGTCTTTTAACTTGAGATTCATGAAATTGAAAGCTTTTGAGATTTTTCTTTGGAAATATGAAGATTTTGTTTCTATAATAGATCAATTATTTGAATGGTGGTATTTATGTTATTCTCATGGATGTATAAATTCTTGGAATTTGTAGAAATCTTGGAAGGGTTGTTTAAGGGGGTGGTAAATAGCATGGGAGCCCGGGTAGGGAGTCAGTTTTTGAAAAGAGTTGTGTGTTGTTCGTACTCGCGTGGGGAGTTAAGGTGCCCAATTGCCCTGTCTTGAGCTTATCGCCGCACGAATGTGGAAAATATTTTTGGGTGTCCACTGGTCCTGTCGTATTGTAGTTGGTAAAAGTGGAAAAATAGATGTTTTTGGGTGCCCACGTCCTGCTGTATAACAGTCAGTAAATGTGGGGGTGGTTTTAAATGAAAGTGATTTGCGAATGTCATTTGGGACTCTTTTTACGGACTTCATGGTGTATTTACCCCCCGATGTTAACATGTGATTTTCATGGAAGTTATAATATCTAAGTTTTGTTGCTTAAACTTTTCACATGAGTTGAACATGAAAATATTTGGTTGTGATAATGCCATATGGGTTTTCAAATAATTAGATACTTTGTTAAAAGTATTTCTACTGGGCATCTAGCTCACTCCTATCTAACAATTTTAGGAATTGTGATGTGCAATTACCCTTATGAGGAGGAGGTGGACTTCTTTGTTTTGTTGGAGCATGACGGCTCATGGATGTATTATGTGGAAGCTTCGAGCATATGTGTTTGGAACCGTGTGTCCATTTGGTTGCAATAAGGCCTTGCCTTGATGTTTGTATGCCATTAAGACATTATGATTTTTATTCTCTAGTTTCTTGAGCCACGTAAATGTTATTATTATTAAGACAAGAATATGAAAATTGTAATATTTGATATGTTGTTCAATGGAAAGGAGAACTTTTAAGATTAATGTTATTGTTTGGGTTGGAAAGATTTAGGATTAATTAGGTTACGAGAAATGTTTTGATTTAATTAATTTGGGGTTGTCACATTATGTGTAGAATTATTTTATTGGATAGATTTGTAATTCAATTAATTTATATGGGTCATTTAGTAATATCAAGGAATTAGTTATGAGATGGCATTATAATTTCTATATCTTAGATGGGTAATTTTACAATTTTGGGAAAACTAGGTTAAATAGGCCAACATGTCTTGGCTTTAAGTCCTAGGAGAAAAAAAACCAGAGGCCTCATGAATTGCTGCGGAGGGTTTTGGAGGCTGCTACTTAAGGGCTTGGAAAAAAAAAGAGGGGGAGGATCATAGAGTGGTGGTTTTGCTTTATTCATCACTTGGGTAAGATTTATTTTATTGTATTCCTGTCTATGAATTTAGTGTCAATATATCAATAGATGATTTTATAGGCACATATGATTAAATAAATATATTGATGTAGTTTATGTTGGGAGTGTCGGTTTCGCCCGATTTTAGAGTGTATTTTGCATTCCGTTTGGGTGGTTCATATTTTGGGATTGATATGTAATGGGTTAAGTTTAAAGGTGGTGTGTTTGTGGGATACAAGATTGACTGCAAATAGTTACAAATTTGTACATGTATATAAACAACAATAGAATAATATAAGTTGAGAATTTCTGAAGTCGTGATAGCTCTGTTTTGATGCTGACTTATGGGAGTTTCTGGTAGACTATTGGATTAATTTATTCTATTGTTGTTACAAGAAAAGAATGATGGGTGCAAATAATAATTGTTTATGCAGTATAATATTTTATTAAGTTTGTGAGATTAAGGTGGATTTTGGTAATTTGACATTAGCTTATAAAATATTATTTTAGCTGTTTGAGGTAAGTAACCCTCTATCACTGTCAGTTCACTTTTATTACCGAGAGTAGGACTATGATTTTAAGTTACTATTTTTTTAGTGGATTATATTAGTGGACTTGGTGGACAATTTCATATGATAAGAATTATTTATTTTTATGGATTTTGGCATTATGATAATTAAAGATTTAAATTGAGTATTTTATATTGTTGGTTTATTTGATGAGTGTGCGGCGTTATCACGGGACTTGGGGCGTGACAATGAGTGCCTCGGATGTGAACAATAGCCATAAAGTTCAAGAATTCATAAACCAAAAATGAGTGCCTCGGATGTGAACAATAGCCATAAAGTTCAAGAATTCATAAACCAAAAATGAGTGCCTCGGATGTGTACAGTAGCCATAAAGTTTTACGAAGTTGTGATGACGAATCTCTGTTAATGCACGAACCTCACTTACAAAGCCTTTTAGATTAACCAAGTCTCCAACAGGTGATGCGTGAAGTTTCTTCACAGCAACTCCTTGGCCAGTTGGAAGGTTTGCTCTATAAACAATACCAGATCCTTCCTCCCCAACACAATGTTTGGCACTAAAGTTCTCAGGTTCTTCAATGATGTTTTCATGTACTATCTTCCCGTCGAAGCTCCAAATTGCAAACAAATTTTTGTTATTTACTCATCTTGACTCATTTTCTATGTTCCTCGATTTCTTACCAAAAGTCATGAGTACTATTCTAATAACCATTAGTGAAAGAAATAGAAATCCAAAAATAAGGACAAATAGTAGCACAAATTTGTTTCATTTTTTTTCGACGACCACATTGTTTGTTTTACGCAGGCAAGCCTTCAAACCAGTGGCATTTCCACATAAACCATTATTACCTTTTAAGCGTTTCAAATGATGCCTTTCACAAGGCTACGGTTTTAGGAAGACGATGGTAGGGAACCCGAAAGCTTAACATATTATTGTAGGATACATCAACTAATGTTAGGCTTAACATATTATTGAAAGACGATGGTAGGGAACCCGAAAGCTCATTTTGGGAGAGATTCAGTGTTTCTAAGATTTGCAATTCTCCAATCTGCTGTGGTATCGTCCTTGTTACCAAATTATGACTAAGATCAAGACTTTGAAGGAATAGGAATGTTTTCCCCAAATCTACTATTGCTCAAATTTAAGTTCAAAAGTTTTAGGCACTCCCCTAGTGCTCCATGGATTGAGCGACTTAGATCATTTGATGCCAAGTTTAGATTCTCTAGATTGGAAAACTTTCTGAATTCTGGAGGAATGCTGCCTGATAGATGGTTATTATCCAGCTTAAGGTTGAATAGTGAAACCATATCCTTCCCAAATTCACTGGGATCTGTCCAACTAGGTGATTTGAAGAGAGGTCAAGAAGACGTAGTTGAGTTGAATCCATTACTTCAGGTGGAATCACACCAAAAATATTATTATTGGACATTTTGAGACTAGTTAAATTATGGCACTTTCCCCATTTTTTTGGATACCTCACAGTGGAAATTATTGTGACTTAAATCAATGTAAACCAAGTTTGGGTATATGCCAAAATCTTCTGATATATTTCCCGAAAGTTGATTTCCCCCAAACCTAACTCTGTATAAGCTAGAGCAATTTCTCAGGTTGTTTGAGATGGGACCTGCGAGATTATTGTAATTTGCTATAAAAAAACAATAATCCATTAAAATTCTGGAATATGACCACTCATCATGTTTCTACCTGTAGCAAACTTAGTCAAATGTGTAAGATTGTTGAACAATGGGGGAATAGATCCAAAAGGTTTGTTGTCATGAAGGTTTAGATAGGTCAAGTTGCCCAAGTTTCCTATAGATGTAGGAATTGAACCAGTTAGATTGTTCTGTGAGAGATCGAGTTCAATGAGAAAGCTTAGCATCCCAATTTCTTGAGAGGTTGATCCAGAAAGTTAGTTGTTGTAAAGGTTCAGAGTGGTTCAGTTGCCCAGTTTCCTTATAGAAACGGGGATTGTACTCGTGAGACTATTGCCAGAGAGTTTGAGATCAACAAGAGATGCCAGCGTCCCAATTTCTTGAGGGATTGGTCCGGAAAGTTGGTTGCCATAAAGGTGTAGACTGATTAAGTTGCTCAAATTCGCTATAGAAGCAGGGATTGAACCAGTGAGATGGTTGATGGACAAGCTAAGGAAGATGAGTCTCGAAAGGCTACCAATGTGGGAGGGGATGGTCCCGTAAAGTGAGTTGTTAAAAAGGTCAGGACTGAGGAGTTGAGGGAAGGATGAGAAGTCAAGATTGAAAAGTGTACCTTTCAAACCATAACTTATAATGTTTATAAGGGTGACACTGCTAGCCCTATTGTGACCAATTCCAACTCAATTGCAACGGTTGCTCCCAACCCACGATGATAGGAGAGATTGACTTCCGTTATCGAGTCTAGCTTTCCACATCAAGAGAGCCATGGCTTCACTTCCTTCTTTTCCATCTTCTTCTCTAGTTACAGAAGAAGCAAAAGTAGCAGAATCAAAAGAAGTGGCCATTGCAAGGATGATGGGGTAGATTAAAAGGATTCAGAAATAATCAAACTGGTTTGGAAGTGTCTTTGCTAAGAATGCCATTGCTGGTTTGTTATGACAAGCTATGAAAGGCAGTAAATGGATGGAGGGATGAAGAGCTGCAAGTGTATGAAAAATAGTTTATAGATAGAAAATGCACTGTACAATATTTGAACAATGACTTGGAGCATTATTAGTTGGGTTTGAAAATTCTAGTGTAGTTGCTTTCAAGTTTTGGCTTGGATCCTCCACTATGAAGTATATGTTGTGTTTGGACAACTGATATTGATGATCTTGTGCCACAGCGGTATGTTCTCCGATTTTCAAATTATAGGTCGTAAATTTAAGCTTCATTTGGGGAATAAAAATTGGACAACTGACCTTTAAGATCTTGCCAGATCATAAATTGAATTTTGAATTAATAATTGTGACTCAAAATTAAATAGTTTAGAGCTGATTTTATTATATTTTTTTAAATTGTTTTGATTGCGAAAAGAATAGCTACTGGGTAAATGTCATGCAAAAAAGTTGAAATTAGAATGAATAAAATTATTTGAATAGTGAATGTTTTGAGTTTCAAATTAAAATTGAACTATAAAAATAAATAAAAAAATTACACTCGAAAAGATTATAAAAAATTCCAATTATTTTTTATTTTTTTGTTACAGGAAAATCCTCCCTACCCTTCCGCAGGTCAAAGGCAGCGCCCTTTACAGAGATCACCAGGGTGTCCACCAGGATGTCCTGTTAGCCATTCCGAGCGAGGAGACTATAACCTGAAAACGTAGCCCGACCTCCCACGACAAGTTTCGCTTAAGTCAGGACTCGCACAACGGGGAGCATTGAACCCACACCAAGTGCTGATTAGACAATTTGAGGTCCAACCTCCTAACCAACTGTGCTTCGCCCAAGAGATTGGCTCAAGAAAGAAAGAATTGAACTCATGACTTTGGAACTTAAACCCTAAGCCTTAACCACAATACCCCCACCCTTGAGTTACAATTAAATTTTTAGTCTTCAAACTTCAAATAAACTTGAGATATCTCCATAAATTAATGAATTGAGATTCACTCCATCACAAATTACAATGATTAAAAAATTTATTTAAATATGAAAATCATCAAAAAAAAAAATAATAAATTAAAATGACATAATAATAGTATTTTATTTATTTCACTAGCTCACTGACCAGTTTGTCAAAGTTGAGGAAAGATGAGCCACCAGCTCTGGCGGCCTCCTCCGCCGCCTTCTTCCACTCCATGGCCTTCTTCTTCATCTCCTTCCCCTTCTCACCCTCCATCAACTCCCTCACAAGCTTCTCCACTTCTTCTCGCTTCACATCACTATCTATCTCCAAACCAATTCCCCATTCCCCACGACTGTACCAGCAATTCGTCTGCTGTTCGGCGAAGAACGGCCAACAGATAATCGGAACACCGCCGGAAACACTTTCGATCGTCGAATTCCACCCACTATGAGTCAAGAACCCTCCAATCGCAGGGTGGTTCAGGACCTGTTCTTGAGGGCACCAACTGGCTAACACCCCTCTGTCTTTGGTCTCCGGCAAGAACTCCGGTGGCAAAATGGCAGTGTCGCCGGAAACAATGTCGGGTCGAATTATCCACAAAAAGTTCTTCTCGCTTTTGGCGAGTCCCCAAGCGAACTCAGTGAGTTGTTGAGCGGTCATGACAGTGATGCTACCGAAATTCACGTACACAACGGAGTTGGGTTGTTGGGAATTGAGCCAATCGACGCACTCGGGGTCTTCTTTCCAGAGATTGGAGCCTATGGATTTCAATTTATCGTCAGCGGAGATTTGGTTGTTGAGCATTAGGTGTAGTGGTCCGATGGTGTAGAGAGGTGGAATGAAGGTGGAGGAGAGAGAATCGACGACGGCGCGTTCGAGCGCGTGGAATGTGTTGATGACGATCGCAGAGGCTCTATTAGTTCGATCTATTTCGCGGATGAGGAAATTGAGCATAAAGTGATTTGGGTCATTGCCCGTGGTTCGGATGAAGGTTGGAAGATCTTTCAATCGGATGTTGTTCATTCCAGGAATCCAATCAATTGTTGTGTCCAGATATCCATTTGTTAGGCAACTCGCATCTATGTTTCATTGCAAAAGTCACCAAAGAAACATGTACATACGTTAGTTGTGTTCAGGATTCAATTTTTTTTTTTAATGATTTTTAAAAGAGGAAATTAGTGAAATATCATTCTCTAATTTTGTAGTGTATAGTAGGAGAGGTCGAAAATATTTTTTTTTTATTAATTAAGGTCTCTCAATAAAATTTCTCTGTGATCATATCAGAAAAATTTCAAAATTTCTCCGTGAAATTAAAGAAATTTCTCTGTGTCGAGATTGAAATTTTCCTGAGTTAGACACAAAGGCCTTTTTTGGTTTGCTTTTCAGAAAAATTTTTGAGAAAAATTCTCGACATTTTCAAGAGTAATCAAACCAAACAATTTTTTTAAAAAAAATCTCAAATTTTTGTTTGGTTACCTACTTTTCAAAATCACTTTCTCTCTCATACACATCAAATCAATCACTTTTTTTTTTTAAATTCTCTCTCCAAAATAATATTCCAAAACTATTTCTGAAAAAAGGCAAACCAAATAAGTTTTCGTACTTTTTATCTCAAAAATTACTCTACAAACACAAACCAAACACACCAATTTTTCTGAATCGAATTTTCTCTATGAAAATATTGAGGGACTCTAATTACTATAAAAAATATTGTATATTTTTTTATATTATAAAATCTTAATATTATGAATCTTAAAAAAAATTCTCCTTTTTAAAAATAAAAATTTAAAGTTTTAGAGCTCTAAATTTTATTGGACCAGATCATTCAAAAAAGTAAAAATAAAAAATTGAAAAAAATAAAAAAAAGTCACTTTGTTATTTTTATTTTTTTAATTTAGTGAACTTTCTTTGAATTTTTTATATTTTTTTTAAATCTTAGATAGACTAAAAAAATAAAAAAAATTTGAAATAAATTTTAAAAAATTACTAAAGACAAAAGTTAAATAAAATATTTGACTTGTTTAGCTGGATATCAAGATAAACCACATGGCACATCGTGCATGGCCTTAAATAAATAAATATTAAAAAAAATTATATAAAAATCGTTGAATCTTAATTAAAAAATACATCCATCTCATAATATTTTAAAAATAATTATATATCTCCTGTCAGGAAAAAAAAAGAAAAAAAAAAAGAGTGCTTGTGGGAGTGTCAAACATAATATTTAATTTTACATTTTAAAAATTAAGAAATATAAGTTATAATTCTTTTCTTTCTTTCTTTTTTTTTATAATTGCTTTTTATTTTTATTTTTTTGGTTAAGTTAAATGGAAAGTAAATGTTAGGCTATTTTGAGTTTTATCATTTGATTTTTTTTTAATTTTTTTTTCTTCCCACACTTCATTTATAATATTGTTGACTTGCTTTGATGAACTTTGTTTGAGGCATTCAAAATAACCAAAACAAAACTCGTGATGAATTGCAAATAACATATCAATAATGTTCAAATTTCAATTTAAATTAAAGTCAAACTTATATTAAAAATGTATAAATCATATCTTAATCATGTTAGAGAAATCTATGATTAAAAAAATAGTAGTATAATATTTTTACCTTTGAGAGGAACAAGATCTCTTTCAACAAGATGCTTGTAGTAAGAATAACCCAAAACCCCAGAAGCACTTGGTGTCCAAAATAAGACTTCAGGAACACCGAACTCCTCAGCAGCATCAAGAGTGAAGCTCATGCTCGCATCGGAGACTATACACGTCACCGGCGGTACATCGGGCGATGATGACGGGTGGTTGAGCTTGGAGATTAAATTGGAGAAAGGAACTAAGCAATTCTTGGAGGTGGAATCACAGAGAGAAGGGATGTCTTGGGTGGAGTCGGCATCCCAAGGAGGGAGGCCGTCAGGGATGGTTTTGAAGCGAAAGTCCGGCAAGCCGTCGAGGGAGTTGGGGCCTCTGGATCTCAGAAGACGGTTGTGGTTGTACTCTGTGTTGACAAAGGTTATGTGAAAGCCTCTAAGATGGAGTAGCTTTGCTAGTTTTAGCATTGGGTTGACATGGCCTTGAGCTGGATATGGGACACACACTGCATGGGGCTTGTTAACTCCACCTATGGAACCCATCTCTCTCTCAAATGATTTGGTTGATGAAGAGGAGAGGAAAAGGTTGCCTCCCTTTTATACACAAATTGGACCCAAATTTAGGTCACAGACCTTGAATCAGAGTGGGTTGTGTAGTGTAGATTAAAATTATATAGAGTGAAACTAAAATAAATCTGAATCGCATATTAATATTTTTGAATAAATTTTAATTATATTATAGTGTTTAAGAATGAGAAAATGAAATAAAAAATATAATTATATATAATATTTTTCTATTTAATTTACTTATGGTGTAGGTGGAGTCCACACAAGTGGTGTGTTGTAGAAAATGCTTGAGTAAGCAATACAATTTATTTAGTTTTGTTATATTTTTTTAAATACTTGACATATGTGGTCAAATTTAAAGTCGGAGAGAATAATTTTTTAAATTATAATTAATGATTCAAATTTAATTCACCATGATCTCATTTGTTCTGGACCACATTTTCGCAAATTTTAAAAATATCTTTTAAAATATATAGTATTATTATTGGACTTTCTATACTTTCTTACATATTGCTTTCATCATGAATGTCATTTTTCAACAGAAAAATTATACAAATCTTCGTTGGCGGCAATGATATGACAATAAGAAAAAGAAACAGGTGTTTTGATAATTCTAAACGGAAATGTTAGATGTTGCAAAAAAAATAATTATAAATTTTTTTACACAATATTCATAAAAATTAAAATAGTTGATTTAATAGTTAGTTGGATGAAATTAAAATTTAATAACTTCCTATTTTAATTAAAAAAATAAAAATAATTAGTTTGATGGAAATAGTGTACAAGACTCCAATTTTTAGGTACCAATAATATTAAAGATTCACATTTTGCGTCTACAAATGCACCCATAATGATGTGGCAAAGATGGTGAACTCCATATAATTGAGTATATGACTAATAAAAAAACTGACACTTGTCAAATTGCATCATTGTAAATTGAACTGTGAGAAACTTTTTAGATTCTCCAGATTTTCCTTTTAGGTACTATCTGAAATGCCATCATCATGCAATAGTAATATATTAAATGATATTCAAACTTTAGTATTAAACATTGGTTAAATTAAAAATGTTAAGGATAATTGTTGTAGTAGTTATGGAGTAGTATCGCTACATCAATTGAATTTTACTCTGTCTGAATTGTCTAAATAAATATCTTACATGCATTCAACTAGGCCTAACTTAGTTGGTCACTATGACTTTCCTAAGGATTTGGTTCCTAAGAGGAGGTCATGTGTTCAACTCTTCTTAGAGACTCACATTTTATACTCACAAATCATCCAAAATGATGTGGCAAAATGGTGGATCCCATATAATAGTATATAACTAATAAAAAATTGACACTTGTTAAATTACATCATTGTGAATTGAACTGTGAGAGATTTTATAGGGTCACAAAATTTTCCTTTTAGGTACCATATGAAATGTCATCATCATGCAATAGTAATATATTAAATTTTATTCAAAATTTAGTATTAAACATTGATCAAATTAAAATTATTAAGGACAATTATTGTAGTAGTTTTGGAGTAGTATCGCTACATCCATCAAAATTTATTCTGTCTGAATTGGCCGAATGAATATCTTACTAGTAACCAACTAGGCCTAACTTAGTTGGTCACCGTGACTTTCTTAAGGATTTGGTTCCTAAGGAGAGGTCATGCGTTCAATTTTTCTTAGAGACTCACATTTTGTACCCACAAATGCATCCATAATGATGTGGCAAAGATGGTGGATCCTATAAAATTGAGTATATAACTAATAAAAAACTGACACTTGTTAAATTACATCATTGTGAATTGAACTGTGAGAGATTTTATAGGGTCACAAAATTTTCCTTTTAGGTACCATATGAAATGTCATCATCATGCAATAGTAATATATTAAATTTTATTCAAAATTTAGTATTAAGCATTGATCAAATTAAAATTATTAAGGACAATTATTGTAGTAGTTTTGGAGTATGTGTTGTAGAAAATGCTTGAGTAAGCCTCCGTTTGGGAAGTGTGTTGGTTTTTTAGTTTTTTGACTTTTTTGACTATTTTAGCCTGGGCTAAAAAGGCTTGGTTTGGGAAGGGTTTTTTGATTTTTTGGCTTTTTTGACTTTTTTTGTGAGAGAAGAGTGCAATGATTATGGGTTGGATGTGATGTTTTATTTTTAGAAAATGCTAGAGGTCCCAAATTTTCTACCAAATAAATGACCAAATGTCTCACATAGGTGTGGGGCCCACAAAATTGCGGACCCCACACCCATGTGAGACATTTGGTTATGGGTGTGACATTTGGTTATTTGTTTGGTAGAAAATTTGGTGTCCCTAGCATTACCCTTTATTTTTTGTGGCTAAAATAGCCTATTGTGTTTTTTGTGGTTAAAATAGTCAAAAAAGCCCAGAAAAGCCCTTCCCAAACGGACCCTAAGCAATAAAATTTATTTAGTTTTGTTATATTTTTTTAAATACTTCACATATATGGTCAAATTTAAAGTAGGAGAGAATAATTTTTTAAATTATAATTAATGATTCAAATTTATTTCACCATGATCTCATTTGTTCTGGACCACATTTTCGCAAATTTTAAAAATTTAAAAATATCTTTTAAAATATATAGTATTATTATTGTACTTTCTATACTTTCTTACATATTGCTTTCATCATGAATGTCATCTTTCAACAGAAAAATTATACAAATCTTCGTTGGCGGCAATGATATGACAATAAGAATAAAGTGTTTTGATAATTATAAAAGGAAATATTAGATGTTGCAAAAAAAATAATTATAAATTTTTTTACACAATATTCATAAAAATTAAAATAGTTGATTTAATAGTTAGTTGGATGAAATTAAAATTTAATAACTTCTGATTTTAATTAAAAAAATAAAAATAATTAGTTTGATGGAAATAGTGTACAAGACTCCAATTTTTAGGTACCAATAATATTAGAGATTCACATTTTGCATCTACAAATGCACCCATAATGATGTGGCAAAGATGGTGAACTCCATATAATTGAGTATATAACTAATAAAAAAACTGACACTTGTCAAATTGCATCATTGTAAATTGAACTGTGAGAAACTTTTTAGATTTTCCAAATTTTCCTTTTAGGTACTATCTGAAATGTCATCATCATGCAATAGTAAGATATTAAATGATATTCAAACTTTAGTATTAAACATTGGTTAAATTAAAAATGTTAAGGATAATTGTTATAGTAGTTCTGGAGTAGTATCGCTACATCAATCGAATTTTACTCTGTTTGAATTGTCTAAATAAATATCTTACATGTATTCAGCTAAGCCTAACTTAGTTGGTCACTATGACTTTCCTAAGAATTTGGTTCCTAATAGGAGATCATGTGTTCAACTCTTCTTAGAGACTCACATTTTATACCCACAAATCATCCATAATGATGTGGCAAAATGATGGATCCCATATAATAGTATATAACTAATAAAAAATTGACACTTGTTAAATTACATCATTGTGAATTGAACTGTGAGAGATTTTATAGGGTCACAAAATTTTCCTTTTAGGTACCATATGAAATGTCATCATCATGCAATAGTAATATATTAAATTTTATTCAAAATTTAGTATTAAACATTGATCAAATTAAAATTATTAAGGACAATTATTGTAGTAGTTTTGGAGTAGTATCGCTACATCCATCAAAATTTATTCTGTCTGAATTGTCCGAATGAATATCTTACTAGTAACCAATTAGGCCTAACTTAGTTGGTCACCGTGACTTTCTTAAGGATTTGGTTCCTAAGGAGAGGTCATGCGTTCAATTTTTCTTAGAGACTCACATTTTGTACCCACAAATGCATCCATAATGATGTGGCAAAGATGGTGGATCCTATATAATTGAGTATATAGCTAATAAAAAACTGACACTTATCAAATTACATCATTGTGAATTGACCTATAAGAGATTTTTTCGGGCTTCAAAATTTTTCTTTTACGTACAATCTGAAATGTTATCATCATGCAATAGTAATATATTAAATGAAATTCAAAATTTAGTATTAAACATTGGTTAAATTAAAATTATTAAGGATAATTATTGTAGTAGTTTTGGAGTAGTATCGCTGCATCCATCAAATTTTACTTTGTCTGAATTGTCCGAACGAATATCTCACATGTAACCAACTAGGCCTAGCTTAGTTGGTCACCATGACTTTCCTAAGGACTTGATTCCTAATAGAAGGTCATGCGTTCAACTCTTTTTAGAGACTCACATTTTGTAACCACAAATGCATCCATAATGATGTGGCAAAGATGGTGGATCCTATAAAATTGAGTATATAACTAATAAAAAACTGACACTTGTTAAATTACATCATTGTGAATTAAACTGTGAGAGATTTTTAGGGTCTCAAAATTTTCCTTTTAGATGCCATCTGAAATATCATTATCATGCAATAGCAATGTATTAAATGATATTCAAAATTTAGTAAACATGGTCAAATTAAAATTATTAAGGATAATTATTGTAGTAGTTCTCGAGTAGTATCACTAGTGATACTACTCGAGAACTACTACAATAATTTGAGTGATGTAGTACTAGTAGTACTACATCCATCAAATTTTACTTTGTCTGAATTGCCCGAATGAATATCTTACATGTAACCAACTAGGCCTACTTTAGTTGATCATCATGACTTTACTAAGGACTTGGTTCCTAAGGGAGGTCATGCGTTCAACTCTTCTTAGAAGAGTTGAAATAAGAGGGCAAACACTTGGTATTTTGCAAAAGACGAGGAGACTAATTCCTATAGATGCTAATCTAATAATTACTAACTGACTATCGTTAATTAAAAAAAAAAGATATTTTATTTTAACCCAGTCAGAAGATATTCATTCGAGCAATTTGAGTGGAGCAAAATTCGGTAAATCAAACATTATTCTCTAGAGTATATCATGTGATATTGTCAATGTAGTGTTCCAAAACAAACGTGGAAATTTTTTTAAATGTTACATATTGACTCATCTTTGTTAAATAATTTTTGAATGTTATATGGTGACTCATCTTTAGTGTGTATTGTAATTTCTCATTAACTTCAAACAACACATATACATTGACACATGATAGTCGAATCGAAGAGTATCTAATAAATTTTCTACTATTATTAACACAAACATGGACATCTCCAATTATTATGCAAAGCTTTCTCAAGTTTTTTGTTTTTGTTTTTTGTTTTTTTTGTTTTGTTTTTGGGTCAATCAAGTGCTTCAACTTCTTAAATTGATTAAGGCATTATTTGACATCTCCTATAAAAGGATATTTTTATCTTTTTATTTTTTTGGATCAAATTATTTATTTACTTTTCGTACATCTTTTCGTAAAAAATTAAAAAATATACTTATTTAGATTTTTCTAAACCCTCTAAATGTAAGTTCCATTTGGTTTAATTTTTTAAATAAGTTTTGAATTGTATTTTAAAATATTAGTTGTTGAAAAGAGTTTGAAAGTTGAAAATTTATTTAGTTATGAGTTTTGAAAATAGTTTTGGAACGATTTATAATTTTTATATTCAAATAGATGGATTGTGAGATAAAATTTGATTAATTGATGTATAGAATGTCAGAGAATGAGAAAGGAAAGAGAAAAAAAAAAAAGTAACGGTATTGATTTAGACCCCCTTAAAACACCCACCCCCACAACCCCTTCACACACATGGAGGTTGGGGATTGGGTGAGAAGAAAAAAAAAAAAGAAGAAGAGAAAAGTTGACCAATCAAAACTAAAGGGGGTCAAGGGGGTGACCCCCAAAGGGGGTCTCAACCTTTATTCAAAAAGTAATTGATTTATTTATTGATAATAAAAAATAAAATAAAATAAAGAAGGAGAGAGAAAATTGATTTTTCAGTTGTATTTTAAAAGTTTATTTACCATTTTTTTTTTTTGATTCAAATCATATTTTAAAAATTAAACCAAACATTACCGTAGTCTTTGTATGTTCACATTTTGTCAATAAAATACATTATATAGACCTATCTCAATTCGGATAATTAATCATTAATTTATTTTCTTTATATCAAAACGAAAATTAGCAAAAATAAAAATACAATCAACACCCCTTTCCTTATGAAATTGATTAAATATTTTATACCCTAAAATATATTTCAGGCTTAGTTTTATCATTTATCTTTAAATTGGTCTTATACGACATATTTGACAGAAAAAAAATTAAAAAAGGAATGAATTAGATCAATAAATAATAAATAAATAAAAAAGTAGTAAAATTACTTTAAAGACTTAATTGAACAAATATTGAAAGTTTAAGATTTTTTTTTGATAAATTACAAATACATCCCCTGAGGTTTACTTAAAATATAGATTATTCCTTGTGGTTTCAAAAATTATAAATACCTTCTTGTTAGTATTTGTTATTTAACAGAATTAACTAAAAAAAATGAAATTTATAATTACTCTCCAATATAATAATAAAATTATCTTAATTATTAATTAAAACATAATTATGACATCATTAAAAACTGTTAATTGACTTGATGATTTATTAATAAAAAAGACTATATGTTATGAAATTAGAAACCCCAGGAGTGGAATGTAATTTTTAAAATGATAGGGGTGATTCATATTTCAATCCAACCTCATGAATGTATTTATGATTTATTAAAAAAAGAAATAATAAAATAGTGAAGTGATCATGACAAAAAACACTGCCGAAGCCGTATAGCACAAAAAAACAAAAATAATATATTATTGCAGGTATGGGTGTAATTTTGGCCTGGCCCGGCTCATGTTGGGCCTTGTGTGCTCCCGCCAAAAAGTCGGGTCGGGTTGGGTCAGCCCACGGGCCAAAAAATCAGGCCCAAACCCAGGGGTATTCGGATTTTAGATGGGCCAATGGGGCGGGCCCCTGGGCTTAGGCCTGAGCTCAGACTTTAGGAGGGCCTAAACAATTTTTTTTAATTTTTTTTATTTTTTCTACCAAAATTTTATTATTTTCCATTAAAAATAACACTGGGTATCGGGTGAGCCAGGCGAGCCGGGCCTCGGTTTGGGCTTTTGGGGGGGCCTTGAGCGGGCCAATGGGTCGGGCCAAGCGTGCTGGGCCTATGGGTCGGGTCGGGCTTCAAAATGATGGCCCAGCCCCTGGCCAAAGGCCTCGGGCTGGACTTAGGCTCGGGCCTAAATGGGCCTTAACGGGTCGGGCCCACTTCGGGCAGCGGGTGGGCTTCTGGCCACCAGCGGGCCATGGGCCAAAATTACACCCCTAATTGCAGGCTTGTATTAATCACCATGCCGATATTCAAATCAAAAAAGAAACCTAATTGATGGTCGCCTTGTTTGGGAGGTAGATTTTTTTAATTTTTTTAAAGATTAAAATAGTTAATAAAAATAAAATAAAATAAAATAAAATAATTAATAAAAAATATATCAAATTTAAATTATAATTATTTTTTTTCACAATTATCAAATTAACTATAAAAAAAGTAAATTATTATTCCAAACATAACTTTTTTAACCAAGTTAAAATAACTAAGAAAATTAAAAAAAATCACCTAAAACAGCCAAGTTCCCAAATAAGATCTTAATTAAAGGATTTTGCTAACAATTATCTTCGAGGCACAAGAAAAAGATTAAAAATTTGAAAAATATTTCAATTAATACATTTTTATTAAAATCAATATTTTTTAAATCATTTTCAAAAACTTTTTATGTCAATTTTAATATTAAAAAAATGTTCATTGGACACTTATTAACATTTGTAGTCAACTATTAAGAAAAATGTTTGAGACTTCTAATAAAACCTTCACAGTTTTACTTCTAAAGATGTAGAATGATAGGTATCGATTTTGATTTATTACATACTCAATTATGTAAGATTTTATTTTCTTATCACATCATTAAAGGTGTAATTAAAAGTAATAAAATGGGATGTAGCAAAATTCAATCATTAAATGGGCCAACACATATTTCAACATCGAGATCAGATTTTCTCAACTAATGCGGTGTGTTTAAAAATTAATTTATAATTTAAAGTGAGTGAATATCAAGTTTAAATATAAATTTAAATTTTAAATATTTTTGTGAGTATATAGCATCATCCATATGAAGTCAAAAAGAAAGAAAAAAAAATTGCATGGTAAGTCCAAATAATTATTAAATATAGTGGGTTTTACATGATTTTTATTGCATAAATAAGCATGAGAAATAATAAAATGATAAAATAAATATAGTAATAAATAACATTTTTCATGTTTTCAAATATAATTAGTCTCATACATAAGGGACTTGGTAATAAGAAGTACGAGAAATGAGTAAATTATAAACACACTTCTTAAAGTTTATTTAAATTATAAATTATTTCTTGTGATTTTAGAAATTATATTATGCAACAAAAGACCTCCAGCTGCTGTTCAGGGCCTGTTAAGCTTTTCTGACTCTTCTCTGAGTGGTTTCAAACTAGCCGACACCCATCCTAGGGTTTTTCAGCTCAAACCAACACCCATCTGGGTATCTTCAGGCTTCTTCCATAGCCTGGTAGGTGCTTTGGACTTCCCTCTAGCCTTCTCTTGTGTTTCAAACTCTCTGTGATAACATCTAAGTGTTTCTCCATATCATATGTCCAGATAACACTCCTTGGTTCATCCTCTTTATTACTATTATTTTTATTTTTTTTCATTGTGGTTGAACCCAAGACTAATATTTTGATTGAAGTTTCACCTTTTTTTTTTTTTTTTTTTTTACTTTTTTATTTTTAATAATTTTTTTCAATCTTTTATTTTTATTTTTTTGAATGGTCTAGTCCAATAAAATTTAGAACACTAAAACTTTATATTTTTATTTTTAAAAAGGAGAATTGTTTTTAAGGTTCATAATGTTAAGATTTTATAAGATAAAAAATATATAATATTTTCATAATAATTAGAATCCCTCAATATTTTTACAGAGAAAATTCAACTCAGAGAAATTTATGTGTAACTCAAAGAAATTTCAGTCTCGACACAGAGAAATTTCTTTGATTTCATAGAGAAATTTTGGAATTTCTTTGGTATAATCACACAAAAATTTTATTGAAAGACCTTAGTTAAAAAAATATATATATTTTCGACCTCTCCTACTATACAAAGTTAAAGAATGATGTTTCACTAATTTTCTCTTTTAAAAATCATTATAATAAATATAAAAAATTGAATCCCGAACACAACTAACGGATATACATGTTTCTTTGGTGACTTTTGCAATGAAATACAGATACGAGTTGCCTAACAAATGGATATCTGGAGACAACAATTGATTGGATTCCTGGAATGAACAACATCCGATTGAAAGATCTTCCAACCTTCATCCGAACCACTGGCAATGACCCAAATCACTTTATGCTCAATTTCCTCATCCGCGAAATAGATCGAACTAATAGAGCCTCTGCGATCGTCATCAACACATTCCACGCGCTCGAACGCGCCGTCGTCGATTCTCTCTCCTCCACCTTCATTCCACCTCTCTACACCATCGGACCACTACACCTAATGCTCAACAACCAAATCTCCGCCGACGATAAATTGAAATCCGTAGGCTCCAATCTCTGGAAAGAAGACCCCGAGTGTCTCGATTGGCTCAATTCCCAACAACTCAACTCCGTTGTGTACGTGAATTTCGGTAGCATCACTATCATGACCGCCCAACAACTCACTGAGTTCGCTTGGGGACTCGCCAAAAGCGAGAAGAACTTTTTGTGGATAATTCGGCCCGACATTGTTTCCGGCGACACTGCCATTTTGCCGCCGGAGTTCGTGCCGGAGACCAAAGATAGAGGGGTGTTAGCGAGTTGGTGCCCTCAAGAACAGGTCCTGAACCACCCTGCGATTGGAGGGTTCTTGACTCATAGTGGGTGGAATTCGACGATCGAAAGCGTTTCCAACGGTGTTCCGATTATCTGCTGGCCGTTCTTCGCGGAACAGCATACAAATTGCTGGTACAGTTGTGGGGAATGGGGAATTGGGTTGGAGATAGATAGTGATGTGAAGCGAGAAGAAGTGGAGAAGCTTGTGAGGGAGTTGATGGAGGGTGAGAAGGGGAAGGAGATGAAGAAGAAGGCCATGGAGTGGAAGAAGGCGGCGGAGGAGGCCGCCGGAGCTGGTGGCTCATCTTCCCTCAACTTCGACAAACTGGTCAGTGAGCTAGTGAAATAAATAAAATACTATTATTATGTCATTTTAATTGTTTTTTTTTTTTTTTGGTGATGATTTTCAAATTTAAATAAATTTTTTAATCATTGTAATTTGTGATGGAGTGAATCTCAATTCATTTATGGAGATATCTCAAGTTTATTTGAAGCCGAAGACAAAAAATTTAATTGGAATTTTTTATAATCTTTTCCAGTGTAATTTTTTATTTATTTTTATAGTTCAATTTTAATTTGAAACTCAAAACATTCACTATTTAAATAATTTTATTTATTCTAATTTCAACTTTTTTGCATGACAATTACCCAATAGCTATTCTTTTCACAATCAAAACAATTTTAATAATTATAAAAGATTATTACTATTTAGGTTCAAAAGTTAGACCTATTTTTTAAATCTAATGATTTGTTAGATGATAATTAGAGAATATTTAATTATCAATCAATCATCTTCTTGACACATCACTACGTCCATAAAATGGGTCTAAAAAATGACACTACAACAAGTTGGGTCTTAAATGACGAATCTTTTTTGTCTCCAAAGAGCTAATTTCGTCACTATAGATATTTGTGACGAAATATTTTCGTCACCAATTTCGTCATTGAATGTTTGTCACTAAAAACCACCGTGACGAAAAATAATTTCGTCACCAATGAAATTAGTTGAGTGATGAAATTTTTTGTCACCAATAAAACAAGATTTTGTCGCTAAAAATTCTCATTTTTGTCACCAAATAATTATTCAGTACCATATTTATAATTTTAGTTGACGAATAAATTTGTCACAAATGTTGATCATTGATGAGGAAATAATTTCTTCATTGTAAGATGTAAAGGTGATGAAATTTTTCGTCTCCAAAAGTCATACATGGGTGACGAAATATATTTCGTCGCAAATATATTTATATACGTGACGAAATTTTTAGTCACCAAACAACGAAATCAATGAAAATTTTTTGTTACAAAAAATATTTATTAGCGACGAATAATTAATTTGTTATAATAACAAGTACAAATGACGAAAAAAATTTGTCACTAAACTTGTTCCATATTTTATATTTCAATTTCAATTAGTAGCCTTTTAAATGTACTAAGAAATCCACTAGCTATTATATACCACTCCACAAAAAAATTCACTTAAAAATTTATATTATAAATCAAAATATATCCATCAAACAAATTTAATAATAATCCATTAACTATAACAAAAAAACCATCCACAAAAAAAAAATCAACACTCGATCTTGATTTGCAACTACAACTAAGTATCAGTTCAAGAAAAAAAAAATTCAACACTTGATCTTGATTTGCAAGTATGCTTTCAAACATCATCAAAAACCAATCTGCAAAGAAAATAAACAAGAAAAGCATTAACATTGTATAGACCTCTCTATCCATGTCAATACAAATTGTGTACACAATGAGTCTAACTTAAAAAACAGATAACATGACACAGAAAGAAAACCCACAATATGCCACATTGAGTTTCTAAAGTAGTCAATTTACGTACTCAAATATCCAAATGCAAAATCTTATAATTGAATGGACATATTTGGAAAAATATATATATGCCCTGAATACCAAAGTTGACACATCTATCAACTAAATTGGGATATTGAAAAAAGAATACATTGGGAAACAATAAATAATCTAGCTCACATTGCACTCAGTAAAAAAAATGTGATTAAATTCTGCAGAGGAACTTAATAATGTACTTAAGAAGCTATGGATATAAGAAATGAACGATGCCAATAGAATTGATAGCCACATCTGACAATTCCAATGAATGCCTGAGACTAAAATGTAGTACTTATGGCATGTTAATACAGTTCGTACTTTGTTTGATTTTCTCTTTACTCAACCATATACGAAGTCCAAAGAAGTTAAAGCAAGATACGCTAATTTAAGGGTGTAATATTCCAATTTTCATTAAATATATATATCCCATTGCCAAAAAGAGTGTTTCCTGTCTTATCAAATGCAGTGATAATTATAATTTATAATTCTCTATTATAAGCAGTAAATGGACAGATATAGGGTCCTGATTACCAATTCACCATAAACTCATTTTTCCAATCTATCGTGTGGGTTGTCCAAGTTTGAGGATGTTTGTGATGGTAAACTTTGCTAAACATTTGTATTATACATTCCACATTGATGCAGAGAATAAAAAATGTTGTGGGTGATCAAAGAACAAAGGTGGGTATATAAACCTAGGGATGGATATGTTATGAACACTGGATCAATCAATATTGCATGTCGTGTAAACTCTTAATTGATGGGTTCAATACTTTGTGCCACATCAAAGTCTATGTTAGCATCGTTAATTCATGGTACTTATGTTGTAAAATAATTTTATAAATTCCAAAAATCACGGTCCCTGATCATGATCTACAAGGACTTTAATGAACATTTCCTAGTTTATGTCGGGAAAACTTAATCTACACAATCTTTTCTCAGGTACATAACCATAAGTTCCAGAAACAATGTGATTATAGAATTACAGTGATTGTTTTTTTCTAGTGTGGTTACCTGTTCAGAAGATCCTTTGCTGGCCCGATACCAGTTGCCATCAGAATCAATGTACGTAATTGCAGTGCATTTGTCCACTGGATTGAAGAAATGCACTTCTGTGATGTTTGCACGTGCCTGTAGACAAAAAGATTTTTTCCCTTCTTGAATAACCTATAAGTGAAAAGAAAAGAAAGAAAAAAAATAGAAACTTGAGAGCAATATATTTTTCCTCTGACCTCCTTTGGATCAGCAAGCATGTTAACAATGGCTATATCAATGGCATCCTGATTCTCCAATCTTGATGCTCTGGCAGAAAGCTGGACAATCATGTCTTTGTCCATATCTTTGTTAAAAACGTACAGAAGAAATTTATCATCAAGTATGTATTAGCTTAGGGAAAATGAGACTTGATGAAGTCAGCTTTCCATACCTCAATAAGGTTTTGATCGATAGTGATGCGATTCAGGGTAAGAGTTCTAGTTTTATCACTACGGAGGACATCCATTCCAGCCATTTCTTCAATTGCTGCCATCCTTTTCGTATTGGCGCCCTTTAGGTAACAGAAGGAAAAAAAGGAAAAAATTAAAAGAATAAAGAGTTGTTATCCAGTTAGCATTGAAATTTGAGCTTAAGATTCTTCTGTTATGGCTCTTACATAAATTATTTTGAGTTTGTATTAATTATTTGTGTGTGACAAACAATGGTGCCTCAATTAGGATCTGTACCTGTTGAGAGAGTCGATAAGAACCAATTGCGAGTGTGACAGATAATACTGTTGGCATAGCTATAGGTATTCCTTCAATCAATAGAACAAGAAGGTTATTGATTCCATCTCTGTATGAACGGAGCTGTATGGGGTACATGACAATGATTTCTAGAATCATCCCCACAACTATAGAACAAATGCAGAAATTCCCAATGGCAGTAAGAACCTGCAGGAAAAACATTTTACATTTCTCACAATGTTTGCCAACAAGGTTTTGTTTGAAATTTTGATAGAAACTTCAATACTCTCAACTTATTTATATTCAAGGAGTTTTAATTGTTAACAAGTTTTCAAGTTGCCTTGTCCTGGTGTGAAATTTCTTGCATTTTACATAGTCTTAAATTACTTATGGAACTCTACTCCATGTTGTAGTATTTGTAAGTTGCCATGTACAACGCAAGAGGCATAGCTCAACAATGATAGATTTCTTAATCACCTTCTGGAAATGACTAATACTTTCAGTGGAATCAACTAGATGTGCAGCTTTTCCAAAGAAAGAGTGAACTCCAGTTGCTATCACTACAGCTTCAATCTCTCCTTGCTTACATGTTAAACCAGAAAAGACTTCATCACCTGTCCTCTTGGTGACAGGAAGTGATTCTCCAATAAGAGCCCACTGCACAGAACAAACAAACAAAAAAAAAATCAGATAGTAATACCACTTAACCAATCGTATAAAATTTATTTAGAATTGACAAATAAATGTGAAAGGCTACATTGGTTTAGTTCCAATAAAATGTGAAAGGCTTGTATGTATGAGATAAAAATCGATTCTCATTTAGTACAAACATAAAGAAGATTCTCATAGGATCCATGATCATGTTGAAAAGTTTGCAACTTACCATCTACATGACATGGTGAAAAAGAGGATCCTCATAGCATTGGTGATCATGATGAACAGTTTGCAACTACATCATATGGTCATGGTGTAAAAAACAACTAGAGTTGTTACCATCGCAACTCTTCAATCATGTATGCTCAACCAAGATAATTAAGATTAAAAAGAACACAATTGATGAAAAAGGAAAATGAATGAACATGTCCACCAAGTTCTTCAAATAGTTTGTAGCAAATCTAGTTCACGCTAGACTTGGGGAAACCCTCGAATTCCCAAGTTCAAAAGCAACTAAAGATCCCTCATATCTTCTAGCTGACAAAAGCTTGCATAAGGAAACAAAATTGCAGTTTCTGCACCAAAACCTAATAAAATTAAGTCTGAACTATACAATTACTGATTAAAAAGGGAAAAAAGCATCACATAGTTCACTTCAATACAAGTAACCATTGGCAAATGACAGTAAAGTAAGAAATTCGAGTTCCCTATTATCTCATTAAGTAGCTGAATCCAAAAATAGAATAAATTCTAGATAGCAAAATGATGTTTCACCCTATATGAAAAACAACTATACCACGTAAACCAAGATTATGCTAGGCACAAAATTCTGCTAAAGCTATAAAGGTTAGGATCAGTTGATACCAAAAAATTAAAATAATCTTGTGTAAGGGAGAGATATTACTGACATGATAGAATGGTGGCGAACTGTTCAGTTCCCGTCCTTTAGAACAGCAACAGAAACAACCTCCCATTTCTATTCAGTTATCTCTATTGTCCACCAGAAGCTATTAGCAATTTAGTCATCATGTTCCCTCTATTTGGCATAAGAAAATGAATGCTTAATTGCGTGGTTTATACCCTTTTCGAGTCAGTGGATATGGGTTCTGATACACAGTTCTTATACCAAAAAATTGTTCTCATTGTCGACATTTTCTGCTTCTCTGTCTCCACCTACTTTTTTCCTTTTTTTGATTTCTTTAAGAGATACCTTATCAGGTATTTCAAAACTCTTGTCTTCAATTTTCTATTTCTATTTTTATGGTAATTAAAAAATCTTACTTGTTTTAAAATCTTACGTTGTTTCTGATTTTTTTGTTTGTTGCATATTCAAAAGAAATGACAGGTCATCAGCGAACAATTCAAACCAATCGGAGGTTTCTTCTGCAGAAAACAGTCTTAAAGATTCGATTCCTATTGAGCCAAAAACAGAGTTACAACCGTGGATATACAGGGGTCAAATGCAAACAAGAAGACAAATGAATTTTCGGATGGGTTTGACCAAAAACAAACACCCGAGTTCTCTTCCAAATTCAAGTTTCCAACTTTTAAAGAATTCAATCAGAACAGGAAAGAAAATGGGGGTTCTTCAGCTTTGAAGCAGCCCCAGATACAAGCATCGCTAAGTACAAGTTCAAGCCTATTGCCAAGTGTTCTAGTACATATATATATATAACAACAGCAACAACAGCCTCTCATAGCGAAAGGAAGAGAAGAGAGATGAGATGAGTGCCTTACCGTCGAACTAGTCTAGCCACCGAAGATATGAGTGCACCGTTCGCCTCTCACAGCAATTGATTTTGATCCTCTTTCTATTTTGAGTGCATCGTTCGGCTGTGATCCTCTCTCTATTTTGGGACACTGCCGTAAAGCTTTGAAGAACCTCGAAAGGGCTTCAGGACCGTCATGTTCGCCTTCAATCACCACAGCTATTCGGTTAATTAGCAGTCAATCAGAACAAGGTTTAAAGAACCCATTTCCCCTTCCAATGAATTTTGGAACCCTATTTCTTGTCTCTCTCTTTCTTCTACGTTACTTTATCATTATAACCCACTAGAACCAAAGAGGCAAGAGTCAGTGTATCTTGTTAATTAAACAACAATAAAGGGATAGAAGAGTTGTAAATGCCACAATAGCACTGAAAAGAGCGAAAAATCCATATTCATGGCTTTAATAACCCAATAAACATATTGGCGATCCATAAGCAAGATACATAAAATACATTTTAACATATTAGCAATCCCTAATTGAGGTACATAAAATACATTTATCTAGAATTTATATGTGCCCTTGATCTTTATTTTTTTAGTAAATCTGTTACATTTAATATTTTCCGTTAATTGCATATAAAGCAAATAGCATTAACGAGTTATTAACTTAACAAATCTATATTCAAGCACTCATTTTTTCATAATTAGTCTGAAGAAATAATATATGGGACACTATATGTGTCTCAGTAGTTTTCAAACTTAAGGATAATAATGAATTTAGTTTTGAAAATTAGGAAAAACAAAGATTGAAAAAAAGAGAAATTGAGAGAGAGAGAGAGAGAGAGAGAGAGAGAGAGAGAGGATCTATACTTGAAAAGAGAAAAATAGAGAAATAATCGAATAAGCGACGTCGACAGCACTAACGATTGCTTGGAAGAGAACACGGGTGACATCGGTGGCGGCACTGGAGGAGGAGAACGGGTGACATTGGCGGCGGCACTGAAGGAGGAGAAGGGGGGCTAAAGGCAGAGAACACGTGTTTTGCAAAAGAGGGATGAGAAGAAAACTGAAGCACCAAAAAAAAATGAGGGGAATTAGTAGGTTTTTTTTTTTTTTTTCATTGCCACCAATATCACAAAGTTCTCCCTCCAAAGTTGGTGATAAAATAATTTTCTCCCCAAAAATTTTAAAATGTTAAAATTATTGATAAAAAAAATATATTCTTCATCAAAAAGTTTCAAAATATTTAAAATCAATTTTTTCAAAAAAAAATATTTAAAACTATTGGTGACAAAAGTATATTTCTCACTAATAATTTTATAATTGGTGACAAATTTTGTTCTCACCAAAAGTCTCAAAATTTTGGCGCCACCCAAAAAAATTAGAGAAAAAACCTTTAGTGACGAAATTTAATTTTTCCTCACCTAAAAAGAAGTATTTATTGACGAAAATAAATTTCGTCACCTATTATTTTTACTTTTTTATTATATGTGACAAAATTTTATAATTCGTCACGGATTATTCTTATTTAGTGACGAAATTTATTTTCTTCACTACTTTCGTCACCAAAGGTTAATTAGAGAGCTAATTAACTTGTGTTTTGTTTTGAGAGAGAGAGAGAGAGAGAAAGCGGGGAAAGGAAAATTGATAAACAATAAAGAGAGGGGGGGAGGGGAGAGAAAAAGTTAGTAGTCTATTTTTTTCATTACCGCCCAATATGTCAAAACTTGCCCTTCCAAAATTAGTGACAAAATAATTTCCTCACTAAAAAGCCTCAAAATATTAAAAATTATTAGTGATAAAATTATATTTCTCAGCAAGTGGTCTTAAAATATTTAAAATCAAATTTCTCAAAAAATATATACATATAATTATTGGTGACGAAAATTTATTCCTCACTAATAATTTTATAATTGATGACAAATTTTTTTCTCACCAAAAGTCGCAAAATTTTGGCGCCACCAAAAAAAAATTAACGGAAAAACCTTCGGTGACGAAACTTAATTTTTCTTCACCTAAAAAGAAGTATTTGTTGATGAAAATAAATTCCGTCACCTATTATTTTTATTTTTTTATTATATGTGACAAAATTTTGTAATTCATCACGGATTATTCATATTTAGTGACGAAATTTATTTTCTTCACTACTTTTCGTCACTATAGGTTACTTCTGTTGTAGTGTGAATTTGTATATCATAAAATTAAATCATGTAAAATTCCATCCTTGTCCAGAAGAAAACACAATATACCAACAAAAATTAATACTAATAAATATACATATATATACACATTAGATCCAGATTGTATAAAATAAAATAATAAAAAAAAATCTAATAAATTCAGCTCTAAACTATTTAATTTTGAGTCACAATTATCAATTCAAAATTCAATTTTCTGAAAATTACATTTTTGGTCTTTGTTTTTAGTGAATTTTTTTAAATATCTTAAACAATTTTTTTTATTTTATTTTACTTTTTAGATGCACCTAAAAATAAAATATTTGTAAAGAAAAATATTTTAAAAAATTAATAAATACACAAGAATATAAAAATGTATTAAATTTTTGTTTTTTTGTTTTTTTGTATTTTGTATTTTTTTATTTATTTTTATTGTTTTGTATTTTTGGCATTTAGTAAATTTTTTATAAAAAAAATCACAAATATTATGCTTTTTATTATATTTATACTAAGTATATCTAAAGGTTAAAAAAAATGCTTAAAATAGTAAAAAAAATTCACTAAAAACAAATATATATATATATATATATATATGTGTATATATGAAAAAAAAAATCAATTTCTAAAAAGTTAAATTCAAAGAATTTAAGCCAAATAAAGTATAAACTTTCAACCTTAAGGACTTGGCCAGGTGGTCAAGGCCCAGGGCTTGGGATGTGCTCCTTCTTCCAAGATCTCAAGTTAAAAATCTCTAATTAGAAATATTTTTTTAAGAGCAATCTATAGAGGATTTTGCCCTGACTTGCATATCATTATAAGTATGGGTTCGTTTGAGATTTGGGTTGACTTTTTAGTTTTTTGATTTTTTGATTATTATAGGCTGAAGCTAAAAAGTCTCGTTTGGAATAGGTTTTTTGACTTTTTTGACTTTGTGAGAAAAAAAATGAAATAATTATAGGTTTAATGTGATGTTTTGTCTTATTGAATTAAAAAATTTATTTTGTCTTTTTGTGACTAAAATAGTCAAAAAGTCTGGCATGCCAAACGAAGGCAATGTAATATCAAGATGATCCAAAAATACTTACTACCTTAAAATTCACCATTTGTGAATTGTGCG